GCATTTTGAGATTCATGTTGCATACAACAGTAGCCCATTCCCGGACATTGCAGACCCTGGCTGTGTCACAGACTCTGTGAAGACTAACACATCAGAATCAATAATAATTCACTTGGCTCTCCCTCAGCCGCGCAGCAGCGGAGGAGCAGGAGCCTGCGGGAAGATGGGAAGTGGCTGGGCTGCGGGCGGCAGAGTCAGTGAGACAGGCCGCTCTGGGCAGTCTCCTTGGGGGCTTCTTAAAAGGGTTACAAGCCAGAGGATATGAGTGACGCCGTCCAGGGCATCCAAAGGATAACCACCACTCTATAAAATATGAGGCTGAGCTCCAACCAGGGTGCAAGCCCTGAGGCCAGGGGCCAGGAGGTCAGGTCCTAGGGCAAAAGAAATAGGGAAAGTTTCTTGGCCCTGCAGCTCCTAAATCACTCTGGGAAAACAAGCACAGGGACAACCTCCCCAGGGTCAGGCAGTGCTTTGCCAATGAACCAAAAGGCAGCAGAGCCATAAATCAACTGTGTTTGCACCAAACAGATCATGGAGAGTTATTCTGAACATGACTTGACCAAAAAAAAAAAACAAAATTCCCTGGAGCTGAATTAACTTAAGAACATAAACAGAGAATGGGGGAATTTCATGTCTTTCCTTTCCTGAGCCACGAAGCCGTGAGGCCGCAGGGCCCGGCTCTCCCCAAGGCCGGCCGCCTCCTCTCCCCTGCAGTCGCGATCCCAGATGGAAGCGTTCGTGGCTCAGGGTGCCACAGGGCGATGGGTCTTCCACGGAACAGCCACTGCAGCCGCCAGACATGCAGCTTTCAGAAAGGCTCCCAGGATCCTTCAGCTTGCCCAGGAGCCGGGGCCCCGCACAGAATTTCCTAGCAGTAGAGCCAGCACGGTGCCCACGGCACCCGGACTGTGACGTCACTGACATCCACCCTGGCCTGTGAGGCTTCGCTTTCAATTAAATACGCATGCGTGAGTGGAAGGCGGTCTGGAAGGATCAGATGTCAATGCGAAGTGCCTGAATTTTCTGAACTTTAATAACGAATGTCTATTTTATCATTTTTTAAAAGGCAGCATTCTTTGGCAAGGAATTTTTTTTCTTCTTACTAAAGTTATTAACTATAGAAGATTTAGAAAAATAGAGACCAAAAGGGGGAGAGGATCACCTGCATCACAATCCTCCACCCAGATGTATTCTGTTGATCTTTTAGCGGATTTCCTCTGGTTATTTTCTATAAATATTATATGCATTTTGAACCAAAAAAAAAAAAGAGAGATCATATGGTACGTCCTTTTTATGATCTACTTTTATGCTTTATAATGCATGCTCAACATTTGTATGTCGTGAACATCCTTCTACAATATCATCTTAATGGCTTACGGGATCCCATTAAATGGATGTACCATGTTTCATTTACCCAACTCCTTCCTCCGAGGTGTTCAGTCAGTAAATGTTCCTCTCTAGTCCACCACAGGGAAATTGTCATAGTGCCATTCTCCTAATATGCCTGCCATACGCAGACACACAGTAGGACTGTACTTTCCTGCCCCTGGGGAATTGGGTGTTGCCATGGCACTTGTTTTGGCCAGTGGGATGCGAGCAGTGATGATCTATCCACACAGAAGCTGTAAGAGCAGTGCACGTGGGAGAATGTTCTCTTACCCTCCCTCAGCTCCGG